CACTTGGGATTTGTGGTTTGCATTATGTTGTTTTTATCTTATGCTCCAGTTTGGTTTTGCAAAGTCAACACCATGAGAAAAATCAGGCTTAATTACCTTGCATTAAAGGAAACCAGCAGAATAATAGTTTTCAAAGAACGCCTTGCCCATCCAGGGCAGCCAGAAGACTCTTCCCTCTGACATCGGGTATCGAGTATTTCCGATACGTTTTGGGTGAGAAGTTACCCTGGAAGGACCCCACACAAACACCAGCAAGGCTTTCTCAAGCTTACCTGTCACCCAGGAGAGCAAGGGAGGAAAACCAGCCAGGACCTTGCCGTGGGAGCAGCCGACTGGGACGCACGCAGAGCACCTGTCACAGCAACACGGAGAGAACTGAGAGCCAGAACCAGGCCGGGGCGGAGGGGCGGCCTCGGCCCAGGGGTGCCTGTCGGGGGGAGCAGAGGCACCCAGCTCCTTCGGGGCCGGGGGCACTGCCAGCAGGGGCAGAGGGGAGGCAGGCTCCCTTTGGGATCGCTGCCGGGGCACAGGGGATGGGGTAGCCCCGGCTCTGGGCTTCCCACACAGGCAGAGGTGGCGCTGACCTGCAGGCCGCCTTCCCGCCTGGCCCAGGGCCTCCCCACAGCACCTTCCGGAACCTTCTGGCACCTTCCCGCCCGTGCCCTGCCCTCAGCCCTCCCCAGCCCCGCGGCCTCCAAGGAGGTTCCTCCAACACCTTCACAGACCAAACCCCGGGCACAGAAGCTTCTAGAGAGAAGCAAAATGCAACAGCAAACAATATCAGAGCTGTTTTCGTGCAAAAACCAGAAAAATCAACATCCTGAGCAAAGCAGCCAGCTTCACCTTTCCTCCCTGCACCTAAACGCAAGGTCTGACAAGCCCCCCATGGCCTAGGAAGGACTGAAACCCTACAGCCTGTGGTACCTTTTCCAGCTGATTTTTTCAGTTTTACGTCAGAACAAAGTCTGGTAACCTGCACATAAGGCCACGCATTAGATGGCTTCCAGCCTTTACCCTTGCAACAGCAATGTGTCATTAACACAAGACCACCACTGCAACAGGAGCTATATTGTCCAACTTAGGCAGTAATCAAAATCCTCTTCAGTCTTGTCCCCACAGGATTCATCATTTGAAATCCAGAAACTTGGAACTTGTACCAAGAAAGGGAAGGCAGCCTAAGCCTGTTCAAGTCCTACATTAATTATATTAAAAACCCAAAAGAAAAGTCAAAATAAATGCCATAGCACATGTTCAATCCAGCCTCAGAAAAAGCACTTTCAGAAGCTGTGTCCAGTAGACAAGAACTAACCTTACCCTTCTAAAATGCCACAGAGTATAAACAGAGCAGTCTCTTCAAATATGCAGCTCCAAACTCCTGTGCAATTTGCCATGAATACTTCTCCGTCTGGTTCAAGCACACTCAAATAACAGGGCACTCTTTTCTCACTACACTCAGAGCACTAATCAGCTTGGAGTCAAATGAAGCATTTCTGAAAAATCATAAAGCAAAACCAAAGCAGAACCAGCTCAAGAACGCAGCCTCCCCCATCTCCCTTTTGACCATTTTTTCTGCAAAGATACTCGCCACCCGCCTCTGTGGCTGCACAACATTTCCCTGTGTTGGAGATGCTGATTATCATGAACTGCCAATATGGAACACTCAAAACAGCTCAAACAAATACTTGATAATCCCTGACAGATGGAACAGGGAGCCACTACAAATGTACACAAACACGTAATAGATGCAATTTGAGAGCAAAGTTTAGCTTTTCGGCAGGCAACAAATAAACAATGAGTTATTATTGTGCATCTTCCTCTCTGCAATTATCATCCCTTTGGATGTATCTCTTGCCAGCTCTAAATCAATTGTGTGCAAGATGATTCTGCTGGCACAAAATAATATTTCTTAGAAAATAAGCCGCGTGAAGAACTCGGCTACTGGGGTATATCTAGTGTACTAGATCTATTTTCCAGCTTGCACCTGATGAGCCATCAGGCTGCACTCTCCCTCACGTGTTTTCTGAACACCTTTGGTTCACTGGCAAATTTAAAAAGGAGGTGACAGTGTGCAGCCTTTCCTACTCTGTTGAAACCATGGGAACTGTCCTCTCTGGTTTAGAAGTTCTCATCTTTCCATTCTTCTTTGGCTGGTGCAATGAGAGCTTACGCACACATTTCATCTTAACTACTCGTTTATGCTCAGGCAGATCAGTGGCTACAATCTATTACTATGGCACAGAGAAAGCCCCTTCAGTAACGACAGCCAAAAGATCCTTTTGCATCATTCTTATTAATCTGACTGCTTAACTCATGGAAAAATACACCAAAGTTCTTCAGTAGGGCCCTAGAGCATAAATGTGCCTCAGCAAGTCATAATATAACATGCAACTACTGGGCATTATGTTGGTGGCTTATACACTGTATATTAAAAGTGAAAAGACCTCAAAGAAGGAAAAAATAAAGCCACAGAAGACAAGACAGCTTTGAAACAGACAAGCTGGCTGTGCCAGCATCCCACATTATCCCAGATGAAAAGAATTCTTCTCCCACTAACAACAATCAACAGACACATTTCGCTTGCAGGCAAAACCTGGCTGCTGTAGTGTAGCTTGGTTTTATTTATGTCCACAAATATTTCAAAAAAATTACAAAATACTCAAATGGAGAGAACACAGAAGTCACGATTTCTGGGTTTCTACTCTGTTTACACTGTGTTATCCCATGGCAAACTACTCATATATACATTAAGCTTCAAGATATATATAAATGTAGCAGTCAGAATGTACACTCTGCTTTAACGGTGCAGTGAAACAAGCTCAACCATGACGACATAGAACAAGAGAGACGTTTCAAAAACACTAAAGCAAAATTAAAAAATAAAACTTTCAAAACAGAGGAAAAATAAAGAGAGATTTCTTAAAGAAAACCAAAAGGTCTGGGTTGTTTTAACAGGGCATCGAACACCAAGATGGCTTCAAAAACCACTGCGTGTAAAGTTGTAGTTAATCATTAGTCTAAAATGGAAGAATTTCAGTGCTTATTTGTGGAATGATGGGAACAAAAAATCTCCCACAAATCATCAGAATGCTTTTCTGAGGGGCTGGGGGAGAAGAGATTAATTAATAGCTTTTGAACAGACTGCAGGCTTGAACTGGGGAAAAAAAAGTAGAGAGAGGACCATGAGAGGCAACCAGCTTTTTTTTTTCCCCCCTTAAGAAAAACTGTACCTAAAAATAAGAGCAAAAGAAATGGCTGAAGTGGCTCGACTCCCCCAAACTCTCTAATTCCACATTGTAAAAAAAAAAAAACCCAGGAGGTTTAACTGAAGTGTGCCTAATTAGATCTTTAAAGTCAACTGAGGCACTCTCTCTGCTGAGCAGACTGATCTTACCAGCTACTCTCTGCTAACAAGGGGAAAAAACATTACTCAGAAGTAAACCTTTTCACCTGATCACTGCAGACAGCAACTGAAGGCATGGACTGAAGAAGCCTGTACCATCCTCAATTCTAGACTGACGTGATGCTTTCCCACTCTCAGAAACACTAACTGCTCCTCCTAATGCCTTCACAGAGAGCTCCCACAGAGCAGATGGAACTGGCTAAACACTACCGCAGTTCTTTAGGACTGAGAAATCTGGAATGGAGGACAGAAAAAAAGGAAGATCAACATGAGCTGAAATAGCTCTCTCTCCCCCCTATATACACTCTTGTCTTAAGTGGACCTAGAATGCTCTGATGCATATTTTTAATTGGTAAATTGATGTTACTAATCCTTGGCACTGATGCTGGTTTGAGGCATGTGAGGTGGACGAAGCACTGTGCATGCCATGCCTTCCATCAGCATGTGATTAACTACAAGTTTATCAAACATGGCTCAGTACAGTCCTAGGACACAACCATCACACTGAACAGTCTACAGCAGCAGAGAGAGAGCACTCATGAGTTAAGAGAGAGAATGGGGGGAAGTTATGCACCAGCAGAAAAAATGGCCAGCAGATTCAGATGTCCATTGGTTGCATCACCCTCTGCTCTGGCAAAGAAAACCCATGGCAAAAGAGTGGGGGAAAAAAAAAAGTAATTCTGCCTAGACAGTAAGCAGAGCTGTCTCCAAAATAATGCTCACTGGCTTTCTGTGTATTCCTCTCCTTTTACCATCCACATGGGAACTAGCCAACAGGAGTCATTCTGCGTGGATTTGTTGTGCTGGGAGTCAGTAAATGTTACTGTCCATAGATGTGGTCAGTCCCAAAGCAGGAAGTTCCTGAGATACAGAACACTGGTGGCAGTTAAAAAGCTTTTGCTTACAAAACCAAACCAAAAACAGTCAAAGAGATATACAGACTGGTTTTTGCAAAACAACTTTAAGAACACCGAGTGGCCTAGCCCACTTTTCTTAAGAACATATCAAACGTAAGAGGCTAGACAGAGCACATCCTCCAAAAATATGCACATGCATACAAAATTCTGGCTGTACTAGTTTGAGCCACGGAACATTTTTAAAAAAGAGATTTTAGAACAGATTATTTCTTTGAACTTTTGCCTAAAGTCTAAAACCAATGTAGTTAGATTAACTTTTCAAAAGGTAATAGGAAAGAAGTGTATTATGGCCACACCGAAAATTAACCCTTGAAGTAGGCATCAAAAAGGTAAGCTAGTTCCAAGGGACATCTGTGCTGCTGAGAAACCCAACTCAACAGAAATCATCTGCAGAACAGAGAGATGTAACACGAACAAAAAAAACCCCAAACAACCAAACCAACCAAAAAACCAAGAACAGAAACAGTCATTTGCAACATTATCCCTGCAACTCTCTTTAATGCTTATTGTTGATATCAAACCAAATTTCAAGCTTTTACCCATTTGAAATTATTGATACCCATCATTCCCTTTAATTAAAGGGATAATTATATATATATTTTTTATTAAAAAATCAACTCTGTATTCTGTCAATACCAGGTAGGAATTCACCATTTGTGATGTTACTGAAAATCAAGATAAACGTTTCTGGAGTTTTGTTTTGTTTTGTTTCTCCCCTCTACCCAAAAAAAGTTATTTACAGACTTAAAAAGCCATGCTGCAGAACTGAGCTCTCTTTAAAATTATGAAGATTTCCTACAATGTATTAAAATAAAAGTAATTTTTATTATTATAGCACTTGGATTCAGAGCTTGTTACGTCACCTACTTGCAATCCTTGTTTTTTTTAAAATAGCTATAGATGCATTGAGTGTCTCTTCACGCACAGTGACTTGTGTTGTGAACCTGATTCTAGCACCTACTCAAAACAAACTAGTAAGAAAAAAAAAAAAACAAGATTGCAGGAAGTTCTCTGAATATTCCACACAGTCCTGTATTTTCAATAGGCTTCTGAATACGTTGTCATGCAGGGAGACCCACGCCAGTCTTGAGAAATCTTCTCTACAAATGAACACTATGCTGATAAGTCTCTACTTGTTGGGTGGTTGTTTCTGTTTTAAATATATAAAGAAATCTTTATAAGATATTCTTTTCCTTTTGTAGCTCTTATTGTATGTAAAAATGTTCCACTCCTTCCCAAGGACTGGGGTTTCCATAGCCAGCATTACAAATAAATAATTTATTACAACTGTTTGTCGCCTTCTTTCTTCAGTCGACTGAAAGAGAAAGAAAACTCATTTTAACAAAACGGAGGTGTCACGTCCCTTCAGAGGCCAGTTTGCCTCCCTGCTACCCTCACCCAGCTGCCCTGAAGGGAGCAGAGGCTGCAGGAGGGCTCGTGAGCTTTCAGCACAGAGCCGAGCGCCGCTGTAACGGCAGCGGTCAGAGCGGCGCGGCGGGAGGAAGCGATGACCTTCTGCTCCTTACATGGGAGCAAGATCACTGGTGCCAGCCCATCAGGCTTCAGCTTTATCTGCACTTGCAGACACGACAGGCAGCTCCAGGCAGACCGGCTGCCCCCGTGGCACAAGGCCAGCAGGCAGTTCTGGAGAGCAGAAGCAAGGACTGAGACATCAGACTAAAGCACAGCAAGGCAGGTGTTTAGTATGCTGCTTCCTACACATCCCTGCTACCCACAGACAGGCAGAATAACCCTGGCGAGGTGCTGGGGGCTGCTGCTTCTCAGCTGACGTGTTGTCAGCTATTGTTGTCCAACAGGAACTAAGGGGGTGTCCCGTAAGAAGAGAAGCACTCTACTATCAACACCATATAGCTTTGTGGGGAGAAAGAACCCCTGTAATTCATCTAGGCATCCTCAGCTGGTAACGCAGGATCCATTATCATTCACACACTTCAACTTCCTAGTGCCTTTAGCAATTTCTTAAGATTTACTGAATTCCTCCCTTCTCATTCATGAAGCTTTACCCTCCCTCCTTCACTGTTCTCAAGCAAGAGAGAGCTTGAGTGGAAGCTGCAGTCACTGTATGATGCTAAAGACCCCAATCAGAGGTAATTCTGCAATATGAGACTCAACTACCCTATGTCCTGTGCCAATAATTTGGACCTAGCTTCCAATCTGCCCTATCACCTACACCCAAAATTAGGTCTCAGTACAGCCTCACCATCTTCCTTAACTGCACCAGGACAGCAACTAAGCACACACGAGGCAGTAATTCAGAACAAAAAAGATGGCATGTGGAGAAAGATGAAAGATGAAGGAAGCTGTAGCAACCCCACATCTCCAAAAGCCTTCATTGCACCTCTCACCTGTAATAATCTTCCTGACTTGGTAGATGACCACCGTGCATGTGAGGATGCCCATGCAACCACTGCTGCTCCATTGCCAGTCTTTGCAGCTCTGCTGACTGGGCATGCATGGCCTGCAGCTGGTGGGCTGCTGACATAGGAGGTGGAATGGCACCAGGCAGATCTCGTGGATAAGGAGTACCTAAAGAGAGAGTTGCCCACTTCAAGACACTTGTTTGCTATGAGGTCTACAGAGAGTTGTCCCTTGAAACTTTTTTTTTTTAATTAAACAGCCAACCTTTGGCTGTAGCCTAAGTTAAAGCTCAGTTCCACCAGCTCCCCTCCCAGGAAATGCCAAGATCCAGAAGAAAAGATGACAGTTCTGATCAAGAGCTGACCTTTGTGAAGGATCATAAAATGCTCTCACCAAAGACTGGATGTCGGAGCATTTCATGCTCATGAGGTGGCTGCCCTAGCAATGGGTTGGGGATGGTCCCAGGTGGGTAGGGAAAACGTGCCAAATGGGGTCCAGCTGCTAAAGGATCCACCAGTGGGTGAACAGGTCCTGCCGAACCTTTAAAAGAAGGAAAGAAAGAAAACAATCAACTGCTTTGGGAAGCATCACTCACTGCTGGGAGACCAAAAGCCCTGTTAGACTTGTCCCTGGCCTAACTGGCACGTAACTGCCAGGAGCTCAGCTCCATCCAATCTGAAACCCACTTTTCTATCTTCAAGTGACATCTGCTTACTAAACAGTCTGAACTGTTAAAGCAACAACCCACGCCTTCAACTTCTGCAAGAAAAAGAAATCCACCAAACAATAGGGAAAAACAAAGAGGGTCAACATTTAGAAAAATATTCCCCCAAACTCTCTCTTATTTCTCCTTGACATATATAAAATTGAAGGATCACTAGTGGCATTCAGTACAGAAGCACTTAAGCACCTTTCTGACTCTATTGATACTACAAGCTGGCAAAAAACTGTATTTGTAGAAGATGACATTGTCACCACCCTTATGTGGAGAGAGACACCTGAAGACCACCTCTCTGATGTCACTGTACCAAGCTATGCACTGATGGGCCTCACCCACCTACGGAGCTACTCTGGAGCAAGAGCCACCTGGGGACACTCAAGAGCCCTGCAGTGTATTTTAACCTGGCATCCAAGATTAAGGCCAAATTATTTTTCAAACCCACATGAGAGACTTGACAGTGAACTGACCTGAACTCATCAGTCTCTCCCTGGACTGAGAGTGAGAACATGCTAACCATATTCTTGTCCAGAACAAGTAACTGGGGGGTATCTAGACTTACCTGCAGAGCTGCTAAGTGACTCACATGACTACAGAATCCTGTATAGGCATTATCTATATGAAATTTCTTCTGCTATCAATGAGGTATGCAAGCCTGCCTCAAACTGAACCAGCCTGTAATCTGTGCAGTCAGTCCCAACTAAAGTCCAGAGCTGGCAGCTCGAAAAAAGCTGGTACTCAATGCTGTCACCTCCTACCTGTAGCCCCCCACCCCATAATAACCTTCACAAGACCCTGATTTCCTTGCTACAATCTGGATTCTTGAACAGCACTTAAATTCCTTCCCAACTCCAAAAAGCAGCCATCTCAGCTACATTTAAAGCATATTGCTCCAAGGCAAAGCATGCTGTATCTGCTTGCACAAACACTACATTTGCAGCCAGCTGCACCAGAAGCTGAGCTTAATTACTTGGACTTTTTTTTTGTAACTTAGCAGCTACTGCACCTGGTGCCTTGCTTGTTGTGTTCCCAAACCAGGACACCCATCTGCCACCAGAAAAATTCTGCTTAGTACCTCACCCTTAGTGCTATGTACTGCTCCACACTCCAGACTGGAGTGATCACGTAGTGTGCTTTAGAAATGAGCAAGGCATCGAGTAATTTTTGAGACTATTAAAATATTTTTGGGAAAAAAATCCCACACATAAGAATACACTGTAGCTAAAGATGCCAACCCATGAATTTGGATTGTTTTTAGGAGAACTGTGACAGAGAATTTCAGCTCAACTCAAGCAAGATGGTTGGCATGTCAAATGGCTCAAGAGATGGAGTCTTATCTCCTTTTTTTTTTTCCCAGCTCCTATATGGCAACACCAGCTTCAGCTCCTTCCCAGCTGCAGCTGCTAACTGCCACTAGCATTAGCAGCATTACCAGTTTCCTGACATCTCTCCTAGAGAATTCCTTCACCCAATGAAGTCTGTACACCAAACACCACTGTAAGGTGGTACTCTAGAGCTCCAGTGCTTTCAGAAAAAAACAACCACCAGCAAAACCCTTGCAGTGGCAGGAAGTGCAGTCTCAGTGAGGATCACTCTACTGTATTTACTTAGTCACTGTTACTGGGCCACCCTCCCAAAAGATAATTGTATTTCAGTTATCACAACGTTACACAGTCCAGAAGTCACCTCACATACAAGAAAACGGGGATTTTGCTACTGGAATTCCAGAGGCACAGCCTGGCTGACCTGGGCAGACTGCTCCTGACAGCTCACGAGGGAGGTCCCTCATGAAACCACGACGCCCTTTTCCCCGAGCTCACCTTGATGTAAGGGATCCTGCTGATGTAGGTGTAGATGCGAGTGTATGTGTGAGTGCTGGTGATGGTGAGGGGTGACGTTGAACATCTGGAGCCGTGCCAAGGGGTCGTTGGTGAGCGAGGCCATCCGCTCCGCGTGGATCCGCTCCGCCGCCAGTCTGTCGGGGTAGCTCATCTCAGGCCGCAGCTGGGGGCCTGCCACGGCAAGTCTCTCTCTTTCGAGGGGGTTCAAACCCGGATGGAAGGAAGCGAACGGGTGAGGTCCTGCTGTTGGGGGAATAGTCAGTGCACCGTGCCTGGCAAAATGCTCCATGGGGTTAGTAGCCGGGTGCAGGGCATCGAGCTCCGGGGGCTTCACCTCAAAGCCAGGTTTCATCCTCTCTCTCAACTCCCTCTCCCGGATCTCCCGCTCCCGGATCTCCCGCTCGCGCAGCTCTCGCTCCCGAATGGTGGGATCCACGTTGTAGAGGCCAGGCATGTGGTAGGCCAGCAGGGGGTCGGTGGGGTTCAGGGGGACAAAGAAGGGGTGGTTGCGGTTTGTTGGAGACATGACATGAGGACGGGCGTACTCGCTCAGCGTCCGCAGGGCGGGCGTGTCGGGGCCGATGTAGGGAGGCACGGCAGCGATGGTCGTCGGCGGGGGTTCGAAGGAAGGTCTCATGTGTGCCGGCCCGCTGAGCTGAGACTCTCCAAGGCGGCCTTCGTGGGAGGAGCTGGATACTTTCTGCTGCACAGAACGGGGTAAGAAAAGTTTATTTCAACACGTCTGGCTTAAAAAGACAGTGGGCACACACCTCCCCTTCTTGGGCTTCAAGGTCTAAGAGGAAGTTAAGTTCAGCCTCCCGAGCCCCATGACTCCTGGAGTTGTGTGTTCCAGTGTGGTTTGGGGGAGGACTGGGTTCTGCCTCCCCTGTAAGCTGGAAGGTAGCTACTCTATGGTAGGAGCCCCAGAGCTACACTGACTGCTTTGCAGTTAGCAGAGCAGCAACTGCTCAGTACACGTCACAGCTACATGCAACAGCCAGCTGGTTGTGTCACCACAGACTACCAGTCTTGTTTGCAGTGTTCTTCCTCTCCTCTCCACAATCACTTGTACCCTAAAACTGACTAAATCCAAGGAAACTCACTCCACAAAACAAACTCTACTCCTTTCACATCAGGACTTGCAGCCTTCTCTCCCCTCCTGTACAAGAGCAGCACAGCACTGCTGGGGAAGGCAGGAAGCATAGTTCATCCATGTAACTGCCTCAAGGATCCCTATTGCCCAAATAATGTGAAGTCCCCATACAGAACACCTTCCTTAATGGACAGATGCTATACTCTGACTTCTATAATCCTACAGAAACACATAGCTCTGATTCAATAAACGCACTGGAATAGAAAGATTTTAGCAGCTCCTTTTTCAGCATTAATAATGTGTTAACAACCCACCAAATCTGTGGGCCCAGAAGTAACCATTCCTTTCCAAAAGGCCACAAAAAAAATGCAGTAGTTGTACTGGCTCTTTGTACCAAGACTGGAATTTGTGAATCCCCATAAAAAGTTATGGGCCTTTAGTGAAGTTAATTTCAAATTTAAAAAGGCTGCACATCCCTTTTCTCCAGCAGACAGCACTCTTGTGCCTGCACAGTAGCTGAGAGTGCATAAAGACATTCACTCTACCTGCACTGAGGCTTCTCTACTGAAAGTAAACGTAAATACCTGGCCTAGTTATCCCCTGCTGCACTGGAATCCAGCACATCAGGAACAGACCAGGTGCAGAAACAATCCATCTCCTTTACAGAGCAAGTCACAGGTGGGTCAGGCAGGAGTTGCTCACAGCTGCTTGGCTTTCATCTGACACACAAGGCCCCCACATTCACTAATATTATGTGCAGTAAATTGGACATGCATTAAAGCACTTCTGGGGGTCTGCAGTGCGTGGTCCCCATCCAGCAGGTCAGATCCTGCCATGCCAAGTCCCTTAAACAGCTCCTAGCTACAAATAAACCTACCGCAGCTCTCTCAGCTTCTCTTTCACGCTCCCGCTCCCTCTCTCTTTCCTTCTCTTTTTCCTTTTCTCTTTCC